CCTAGCCCTTCACCCGTCTCGGATTGGCGAGTCTGCTCAATATTCACGAGCTAGCATGCACCCTCATCGTTGCTTTTAGGTTAGGGTCATTCGGATGCCCAGCTTTTGGAACGCATGCTAAAGATAACAAGAGGGTGAAGTCATGGGGTGTTATTGTGTTATCGAAGGTGGAAAACTCACGCTGGTGACATGACGACCCAAAGACCTCCCGAACATGTATAGGATGGCATGAGTGGTAGCCTGTAAATTAATTTGGAACACGTAGCTAGCTGAAATTATCACCAAAGGTGTATTTTAGTGGTGTGCTCTATTGCATTATATTCGAAGCGTAGCTCTGTTTCTGTGAAAAATATGAACATGATTACCCTACGGCCGGGTCGCAGAGAGCTCTTGGGGTCGACCGACTACTCTATCCGACCCGAGCTTGCTGCAAAATGATTTCTACTATTTAAAATAGAAGCGAGGACTAATTTCACAACGGACTCAGGTCAAATCGAAAATCGAGCGATTGGGTGGTTCTTACCCTTGCCCTGTCTTGGTTGTCTGCGCCAGTGCTTGCCATAGAGATTTAGAGAAATCTTGGAGCGTGCAGTATAAAATACACCCTGGTTGAAAATTTGAAATAGTTACATGCGGAAGCTCATATATCAGTCCAATTTACAGCTCACCACTATATTTATTCGGAAAACTCAAAAAGTGGCGGCTCATTGCAACATACTGCAAGTGAGACGACTGGCGGTAGCCATTGTCTCATAGACGGAGGAGGGTAAAAGGGAGACGGTTGAAGGGGAAGGTGAGCGAGGAGATGGGAAGGAGAATAGAGGCAGGAAGAAAGAGGTCAGTTATGAAGGTCGAAGGCCGAAAACACACGCTCACACAAGGAAGATAGGAGACGGAAGGAAAAGGGGACTAAGCATGAAAAGCTGAGGGAGCATGAAGAGAAAGATGAAAAGAAGTGGGGCAGGGAGGAGCAAGAGCGGACGGAGGAGAGGAAAGAGGGGAGGAAGAGCACACAGAGGGAAGATGAGACCAATGGGGGAGAAGGAGTGGAGGGGAATGAGGAGATGAAGTGGGGTGGGGCCAGGTAAGACGTAAAACATCACAGGTATTGCTGTGATGTTTTACGTCACGGCCACGGTTGCACGAACGTCAAGATCACACATCCCTGACCACTCAAAATGAAGAGCCATATGCACCTGCCACCAAAAAGAAAAGGTCAAAGGCCATGAACACAACATCACTCAAACGAGAGAGAAGGGGGAAGAGGGGAGGAAAGGTGAGGTAGATGGGTAGCGGGAAGGGGAAGGTGGACGGGAGAGTAGAGGAAGAGGGGAGGGAGGAATGAGGAGACCGAGGAGATAGTAGGGGAGATGGCGAGGAGGTGCAGTCAAGGGTCCGAAGTCGAGATCAAAGCTTAAAGGCAACGAACATAAAATCCTATGGAGGTAGGGGAGGGGGAGCGAGGGGCCGCTGGCATTAAATCATGCGAGGAAATGAGGAGGGAAAGGTTAGGAAAGGCAACATAGGAGAGATGGGACGGGAATTGGGTGACGTGAAAGAAAAGTGATTGGGGAGAGAGGGGGGGGGGGGGGCAGGTAGGAAGGAGATCCAGCATCAAGGGCCACGGATACACGGACGCACTCCGCCGACCACTCAAAATGAATGGCCGAAAGGGCCATGCACGGCCATTACCGTAAAAGAAGAGAAGTGAAGCGCGCGGACGAGTGAGTGATGATGATAGCGCATACTATTGTTGATGAACAATATTTCCAGCGCACGGGCGGCTGTGCGTCACTCGTGTGCTTCTGCTTCGCTCGCAATTAAAATGAAACGAGTGTAATCGCACACACATAGTTAGTCCTCGTTCACTTCTAGCCAAAGAGCTGTCGACACAAGTGGTCAGAACAAAACCAAACCATCTCGGGACATAAAGCTCCAATATTTGAGTTTGAGGCTCCGAAGCTCGCTCTGCGTGGACCACTCTTTGCCTACTTTTGTTATCTGGACACATCACAATGGCACAGCACAGTCGCATAGCTACGGTACTACCGTTTCGACGTTAACAGTTCCCTATCATTACCGATATTACGGTCGAGGTCATCCACTGATTCACTCCAAGGCGTTGCAAGATCACCACATCACCACCGTCGGCGTCCACCATGATTGCACAAGTACGGCTTTACGGTTATGGCTGTACGGCTTATACTAATTTCCAATTTCTCCAACCAATCTCATGTTTTATAATTCTTAAAGAAAACTTAATTTAGAACTGTCAGATAAATTTCCAGAGTTTATTCCTACTTGACACTTCATGTTTAGTCGTTTACTCACACTGTTGACAAGCCAAGACGCCAAGATGCAGCCAAGATGTGCAAGTAGCTCAAGCCAAGCAAGGTCGAAGCCAGGTCGGCCAGGTTGACCACGTGACCGCATGTCAACGGACCCTCAAAGCCCGATTCTGTTTCATCGGACCGCTCTGCCGCTCTCTCGGCGTGGAGGATACGTAAACAAAGGTATGTTTCATTTTTGTTTTTGTTGCTACTTGTGCTGAACAATGGAGCGGGCGAAGCGTTCGCTATCAGAGCTATCTGATCGCCAAAAAAGACGTAGGGTAGTCGAAAGTGTTTGTAAGGAACTTGAAATTTGGGATATGAGCAGTGAGGAGTCGGTGGACACTGAGGAAGCATTCCCTCTGCCACCTGGACAACAGGCCGTGGTAGCACATGCAAGTTTTTCCGGAGAGTTTGAGTACCAACGAGCTTCCGAGTGCGAATCTGAGACGAGCGATACGGGTGGTGCACGAAATAACCTAATCTCAACACCTGTGTCAAAATCCCCGCTGCGAATTCCCCGCGTTACCTCCCCCGTCTTCAAAATTCCCTTTCCTTTATCCCCTTGTCAGTTCCCCCGGGCCAGTGCTCCTTAGAAGCCATTTGGAAAAGCGCTTTTATGCACACTTCATAAAGCTCAGCTGTGCTATGACGACCCTAGCCGAACTGTGCTCTGCTCGAGCAACACCGAGACGGACCTGAGCCGCCAAGCTTCAAGGGAACCAAGTGCTGTGAGCTTGTTTTAGACGGAGCGCATTTTTCTCTGAAGCCGTCCGACAACTGTGTTCAACTGAAGGGTGGCAACATTGCTGTCGTTAGGAACTTCATAGAGATGCATAGAGATAGCAATGACAAGCCAAAGGCCATTATGGGTAGCATTTTTGGACATCAAAGGGGCATATGACAATGTGAATCAGGAAAAACTTTGGGAACAGCTAAAAGGGTATGGCCTAGGGGGAACCACGGTTAAGTTCCTAGAACGGGTTTATACGGAGAATAGGGTGATTATGAAATGGGAAGCCGAAACTACAAAACCAGCAGCAATAAAAAGAGGACTTAGACAGGGTTGCCCATTGTCTCCCCTGCTCTTTATGATATACCTCAGTGGGATGGAAAAAAGGTTAGAACAGTGCAACCTAGGTTTTGACCTGAATTACATGGAGGAAGGACATAAGGTAAATCAACTATTGCCAGGGTTAATGTATGCAGATGACATTGTACTCGTATCAGAAAGCCGTGAGACAATACAGGAACTGATTAGGATTTGCAGCAGGGAAGGGGACAGTTTAGGACTAAAATTCAGTAGGGACAAATCGGGTATAATAGTTTTCAACGATGAGAAGGGGGAACCCCTGGAGATACAGGACACAGTGATAGAACACGTAGAAAAGTACAAATATCTAGGGGTCTGGCTCAATGAGGGAAGGAAATATCTAGAGGAACACGAGGAGAATACAATTAGAAAAGGGAAAAGAAATTCATCTATTATGAAGCTCAAGGCACTATGGAACTATAACAGATATGAAGTGGTCAGAGGTATATGGAAGGGAGTGATGGTGCCGGGACTGTTTTTTGGCAATGCAGTGCTGTGCATGAAATCTGAGGTTCAATCAGGGCTAGAAATTCGACAAAGAAGCGTAGGCAGATTGGCGCTGGGAGCACATGGAAAAACACCAAATGAGGGAGTACAGGGGGACATGGGATGGTCGTCTTTTGAGGGCAGGGAAGCAATTAGTAAGTTGAAATTTGAACAAAGGTTGACTGAAATGGAGGATACGCGGTGGGCACGCAAGGTATTCAAGTATTTATACATGAAAAGTTTAAACACAAAATGGACGAACCGAACCCGAAAGCTGACATTTTAATATCTACACACTGGTGATGGGGCTGAACAGACTACGTCAGTGGAAAAGAAGGTGAAAGAGGCGGAGAGGAAAATGTGGGAGGGGAGAATGCAGGAGAAATCAGCTTTAGCAGTGTACAGGTCACGAAAGTAGGAGATAAGAAAGGAAAAGCTATTTGACAATTCACTGGGAAGTGCTTTGCTGTTCGAGGCAAGAACGGGAGTTTTGAGGACGAGGACGTATAGGGCTAAATTTCAGGAGACCGACACATTATGTGCCGCCTGCCATAATGATAGCGAGACACTGGAGCACTTGGTTTTGAAGTGCACGGGGCTTCGTCCTGCCCTCCCTGAAGGGGTAACGGATTTGGCTGGGGCCCTGGGTTTCACTGGCGACGATGGAGGGATGGTAGAGAAAAAGATTACAGTGACAAAGAGACGATTAGAAGATTGGTGGAAATTATCTAGGGAAAATTAAACGATGGACAACTAACTAGCACAGCTGGAAACAGTTGGGACAGAGGAAAATTGGGACTCCCTCCCGCGTGGCTCCGGCCCAAAGTTTCAACCCTGTCTCCCAGTGGGTCCGGTACTGGGGTAACGCCAAAAAGATTTGACCAGAGGAAAATTGGCGACTCCCTCGCCGGGGGGAAGAGGCAGGGGGGTGATGTTTTTTTAGTTTTTTTGCCCGATCCCCCGAAGGTCATCCTGGTGATATCCCACACTGCCTGGTGATAGTTAGGGGGAGAAAAATTGGTCTTAAAAGGGCGGGAGGAATCACGTTTTTGTCTTTTTAGACTTAGGCTAGGTGGCGCAAGCTACCGCCCGTAACAAAGGGAATAGCCATTAACATCCATCCATCCATCCTTCATTGAGTCGGATGGGAACCGTAGCATCTGCGGACAGTTTTTCCGGAATCTCAGCAACCTTTATACTTCAAAGTTGCCATCATCAGAGCTAGGAATTTTTAGAGCTACAGGGCTCTCCAAGTAGTATTCAGTGTGGAGTGTGCAGGACATCAGGTGGAAGTGCGTCTGCTTGCAATATAACCAGGGCTATGCAGTTTTTCTTCTACTTCACTTGCAAGTGGGATCCATGTTTGCAACCGTTGCACATTGGTTGTGCTTAATTCGAAAACTGTATTTTTCGTGGCTTATGAGTGGCCTTTGAGGTAATACAGGCTTGATTTGTTGATTTCAGGAAATGTACTCTGTTGTCCATTTATTTGTTGCTTTATTTGTTGATTTCAGGAAATGTACTCTGTGGTCCATTTTTTGGCGGAAAATGATGTTGCAGTTGTTCCTACCTGTTGGGTGTGCAATGGCCGCACGGCATGGCCACCCTACAGATCAAATCGGTTGATGATGGTAATTGAGAGCGTGAAGAGCCCTTTACTGACTGGGCCACATTCTCCTGTCAGGTGATGGCATCATGTTGTAAGTATAGCGGGTGTCTAGCAACCGGGATTAGTCAGGAATATTTTAATTACCGGGAAAAATCAGAGATATTGTCAAAAAGCGAGCCCAGTCAAGGAAAACGAGCCAGAAATGCCATTGAGTGCCCTGAGCAAGGAGTTGAGAACCTTGGGGCAGAGAAATAGGCTCTAAGCAGAGCCACGCTCTGCTTAGAGCAGAGCGCGGGCTCTGCTCACCTAATGTAGAGTGTGCTAGAGCACTGTACGAGCCAGAATTTCTAGGCACGGCCCGACCCGGCCCGGTAGAGGCATGGCCCGGGCCCGGCCCGAGCCCGATAGAATATTTCATTTCCAGGTCCAGCCAGACTTGGCCTTGAAGAGACACGGCTCGAACCCGGCCCGGACCCGGCAGAATTTTAGACAGAAACTTGAGCCCGGCCCAAGCCCCACAAAATATTTGTTTTGTTTAATATAAGCCTGAGCTTGGCCCGATCCTGACAGATTATATACATGAGCCCGAAAAAGTTGTCAGGCTTTAACCTAAAAACTGTCTAAGCATAATGCGAGCATATTTGATTTAATGAACAAAAGGTTGGGGCGCAAACGAGCTTGTGGTGGTTAAACATTTGACTGGTGTGCTCGGCTTTCTTGTTTCAGTGACATATGAAGATGCAAAGTTCAAAGAAAAAAAATCCGGAAGCGGCGTCCGACCTATCAACGAATAATGAAGAGCGGGAGAAGAGAAAAAGGAAGAGACTGCTCCTTTTCCGTCAAGCTTGCCTCTTCTGCAGGAACGACCTAGCACTCAGCCAGCCCCTCAACTTCCAGGACGTGCACCAGTGCCCAAGCAAAAACGCACACGTGTATGTTTGCTTTTTGTTGCTACAATTTCTTAACGCTTTCTAGCTTTTAGATTTTTTATTTTATGTGATTAGCCTCAGCTTGGTTAGCCGCAATTGTGATAGTGAATGGTATCCATATTGTTTATTGAGCACCTGCTGTTTTGGTGTTTCTTTTACAGCGCAGCTCTTAGGCGCCCGTTTTCGGCTTGAGCGGTGTCGCCGTCGCCGTAACCGCGGCGACGTTCCGGCATTGTGCCGAAACGTCCCTGCGGGGTCACGTGCCCTCCCGAGGTCACATTACCCCCCTTCAGGAGGGTCACGTGACCTCACAGTTACGCCGACGGCGACGCCGCTCGGAGGGAGGGGGGAGGGGTACACCCTTCTGGGCAGGGCCCCCAATTACTGCCTAAAAATCTTTCTAGCATGTTATCATTAGGTCCACGTTAGGCTTCAGCTAGCTAGAGAGTTTGTTTTGCTAGCAGGTAGCTTTTTATGCTTCAGTGTAAAGAAGTTGAAAGAGGCCTAGAAGGAGAGTGAGAATCAGACACATGGCATGGTTTTCTGTGGGACTGCCATATCAGGTTGTTGGCCGAACGTGTTGCCAGTGCTCAGCCATCAAAACATGCTTGAGCAGGCGCATCACTCCTTGTGGGTAGGTCACACTTTGCGGAAAAGGTCTAAACTGGATAAAAAGAATGGCTTGTGCATGCGAAGAAACTGAGGCGAAACTGTGTTAGGACAGAGGTAGGCATTTTTTTTTTATCTTGATGACACTCTCTGCACTAAAATAGGCACCCATTATCTGAACGCAACCAACTTTTTTGTTTTATTTTTTTGCAGGAGCAGCGTGTCTCTTCCCAGGAGTGACTGAGGGGCTGCCACAAGGGGAGAAGGCAAGCATGTTTCTGATTACAAGAATGGACAGTTGGGCTGGGCTAGTTGGTAAGAATTGATGTTGAAAAACAGTGCAAAAACCAGACAAAGAGAAAAGAACACACAGCACCTTGTCCTGTGTGTTCTCTTATCCGTGCATTTTGCACTGTTTTTCAGCATGTTTCTGCCTTGATTTTTCTGTTATAGTTTTAAATGTCTGTAGTTGGTTACTTTGATCCCTGTTGGAAGCATGGAACTGGTTAACCGTGTTAAATGCATGGAATTGAAAAAAAAATCATGCTATTTGAATCATTTAAAAGCTTTTTTGTCTAATGATTTCTTTCTCTTTTTTTTACAACCATCCCATGAGTGAGTGCCTGTTGTTTGAATTTTTTATGGCAATTTTTAATATGCATATGTTACCTTTTATTTCTATTCATGTATACATTTTAGCCCTAGCTAGTGGTTTCTTTTATTTAATTTATGTACACATTAGTATGGTATTTTTACAAGTTTTAAAATCTATGTTCTTTTTCTAGTCCTTTCTGGTTTATTGCCTCCATTATTTATTTATATGTCCTAGCCCAAGATAGTTTGAGATATATTTAGAATTTTATTTCAAGCTGCTTGCTTTATGTTGCTGGGAATTTTAATATTTTGCATTTTTATTTCCATGCAGATCAGCCTTGTAATTTAGTGTGTTCTTTACAATTTTGTAGATCTAATAGCTTGTAAGAAACAGAAGAATACACTGGTACTTGTAACGTTTGTTTCGTTTTTGAAATAAATTTATTCCAATAACCTCTTGTTTTCTTCCGGAGTCTTGCTTCTAGGACTTCAAAATGCTGATTCATTAATGGCCTGTAATGCTCATCCATTTACTCATATCAGGCACCAGCTCAAAAAATGACTTCATGACAACCATATATGCAGTTTCCTGGCAACGCTTGTCAATGTTAGTAATTTTCGGGTAACATTGTTCAGTAATGTCCAAGTAACACATGCAGTAATATCTGGCCAGTGCCAGCATTTTGTTAAAATGTTTACTAATAAAAGCACTGAGTACAAACACAGATGACCGCTCTTTCATTTAGTTATGACGCTTGTTTTTTGGAAGCAAAGACTCGCACACAGGTCAAGATTAACTGCAAATGGAAGGCTGGATCGAAGGAACTTCAGGAAGATAAGGGTTGAGTCAGTGACACTCCATGTGTTTTAGTCAAGGTTCCCAGATTTTTCCAGTTCTGGCCCTTATCTCCCTATCCCCCTCTTCCCTCCCGCCTTCGGTATCTAGTTGATCTCGACCTGTGTGCGACTCTTTGCTCCTGAAAAAATAAATGTTGTTGCGAAATGAAAGAGTGCTCGTTTGTGCATGTTCTTTGCGTTTTTATTCCTTTACTTTTAAGTAAGCCGTAGTGTCAGTGCAACATTTTGGTGTAACATTAACATTACTGGGTGGTAGAATTCGTGGCCATTAACAACAATTGGCAACGTTAGCTGACGACGTCCGAGTAACATCACTGATCTAACGTCCAGGTAACGTAGAGAGCTACGTTACTGCAACATTTTGATGCGACGTTACTGGGAGGTAGAATTGGTGGCCATTAGCAACGTTTGGCAACGTTATCTAACAACGTTCCAGTAACATTATTTGGGTAATGTCCAGGTAACGTATGCAGTTACGTTACTGTAACATTGTGGTGTAACGTTACTGGACGGTAGAATCCGCGGTCGTTAGCAACGTTCGGCAACGTTACCTGACAACATTCCAGTAACATTGTGGCTACGTTTAGTGCTACTTGGGTATATAGTGTGATTTTTAATATCAACTTACTAAAAATGCGATAGATAGGCCGATGCCGTCTTCACAGAATATTTGTGGGGCTCGGCGGACATTTAATTACTTAATAAACGTCACAGTACGTTGTCTAATTAGCTTTTTTAATTGACAGTGTAATTGACCATGTTCAATTTTCAATTTTAAAGGGGCTATGAATAAACACTAGCCCAACTGAAACAACTTGCGAAAAGGTGACGAGTTTTGGGTTATTCATAGCTAAAACTCTGCCTTTCGTGGCCTGATTAAAAACAGCGCGCTGGACAGAGCGCAGGATGCTATTCTTACGTATTCCCTTCAGTCGAACCGTTGGAAGTATGATGCTGGAGCATCCACCAAAGGCACGCTGTCAAAAGCGTGCAACTTCGTTCAGACTGAATGCGACAGCACTTTTTGAGGGTTGAAACTCCACTAGAAACTTAAATAATGCACAGAACCCCAGTACGAGAAGTTCTTGCTAACACGAACAAACATGCCATCACCGATATGCCATGTCAAAACCGCTAAGTCACTCTCCACTTTGCCCGCCCCTGCAGGGTGTGGTTCTTGAATCGAGGGAAAAAAGTGCGAAATTTGATTAATAAATATCTGAAATCCCCTTGGCTGTTTCGTGAATAGTTTTGATTGTGTTAGGCTCTAATAACCACTGCCTCTAAAACAGCAATAATAAAAAAAGTAAATTTGCGGATTTTAATTACTTAAAAAAATGTTGCCACGGTTATTCACCCATGTAATGTCCGCCGAGTCGCACGACACACATGAATGTCCGCCCCCAATTTTCCTCAAACCAGTTGATTAAACAATATCACCGGGTATAGCTGACATAATGTGACAAAGGGATGCTTCATTTCTCATTTCACTGCAGACCACGTGGTCCAAAAGTTCCCCGGGGAAACGACCGGCACTGTCATAGCATACTTACGTCGCAAATGCAACATGGACTTACGCCTAAAAAAAGGCAAAAATAAAAAAATTAGCTACATTGTACGCCACGGAAAGTAGCGTTATCTAACTTGGCAATAATTATTTTAGCTAGTCATTTCTATAAATTTAGCAATTGAAAAGTCTACTTTTATTGCAAAGATAGCTTTTATTTTCCCTGAGCTGCATTTGTTACCTTTATTGAAGAATAAAAGTTTACTGTAAAAAACTGTTAGCATTATTCGGAAGCAAGGCGATCGAGGGCAATCGCACCAAATGTTTATTGCTGCTGATGAAAAAGCATGCACATGACTTTGTTTTCAAAGTGCACCGCCACTTGCGTGCTGCCTCATAGGCTAGTAGACAAACAACGTTTGCAGGATAATCCGGTGCTTTTGTAATGCAGGTCTCAGCGCACTATACGCTGTTTCAGATATCTGCATCCACAGAAATCAAAAGGACAGGAGGCAAAAAAAAAAAAAAATAAAAAACACGGCTAATAATGGGGACATCAGATGCTCCACCTTGCATAGTCGTATGCAGCGCAAATCAACTTGTGAACAGCGTAAGCGAAGTGGTGTTATGAATGAAAGCTCGCTCTGAAATTGGCTGGAGAAATCGGCGCCTTCATGTAACAACCTCAAGCTTTCACCGAAAGTGTTTCATGGTGTAGATTTATCTTGCAAAACTCTAAGACATCTCAATTCACGTGAAAAGAGATTGACAATTGCAACAACGAACAACACCGTCGATCGAGAGTTCCACACTGTAAAAAATCGACGTAAATTTAACGTGTCTTTCCCTCGTCAGAAAAGACGGGTACGCTCATTGTTTCAAAACACAAGGTTTCCCTCATTATTTATGTGCCGCGAGAGCCGATCCTTCCAGAAAAGCCGAAATCCCAGCGGTGCAAGTTTGCGCTGAGGAATCAAAATAGCCTTGGCGACAAGGGAGAAATTTCTTGAGATAGTTTCGGTTTTGCACTGAAAAAGAAAACTGAAAGTTTAGATAAAACCTAAGATAGACTAGACGTTTTGTTAATTTATTTACGAATATAATAAAGCGACATTATTATTATTAATATATTGATTTGCTTAGTTTTGTCTGCAAAAAAATAAAATAAAAAACAAAGAACAAAAAGAAGACACTTTTGAAAACTGCGCAAGACCATCGCTATTGCAATCAGCTTCCGTTCGGCCGCCGTTGGAGTTCCGGAGGGTTCGAGCATCGCTTCCTTTTTTACGTTATAGCCGTTTTAGCGGATATTTTAGATAGCTTACTTACGAATACCGTGTTCAATAATAGCAAGCGATTACTGAGAGCTGTGAGCGCAGCGTCGCAAGTGGCGGACAGTCATGGCCGACATGGTGCAAGCGAAGGTGAGGAAGTTTCTTTTGTTTCTGCGAAGTGCGCCGCTGTTTCAAACTTTGTCTTGTACCGTGTGCTTGCTAAGCTATGCTTGACTCTCACTATGCTCTACCCGGTTTTATTTCGTTATTTGAGAAGAGCGTATTTTCAAAATTTATGGCTCTCTCACAGAGTGAGAAAGATTCGCGTGCGGCGGAACCGAGGGCCAGCCGAGGGCCTGTTCTGGGCGCCGTCCTATACGACGCTCGCCCGACGACGCTTTTGCGGAGCGTTATAGTGCAGTCTGACGGCAGTTCAAGCAATCACAGGTCATGCTAGTTCTGACGCGTGGTCCCAACAGTCTCTCGCCAACGATTTGTTTCATAAAGCGGGAGCGAGAAAAACGTTACAATAGCGAGCAGCATGATTTCTTGCCCGTGCTGTTCCCATAGGTTGCAACCTGCTAGCAGGTTGCAACCTATGGGAACCTGCAAGGACCTGCATCACAAGAGTAAAAGTGACGTCCGCCCACTGATCTCTATTATGGGTGGCTGGATGATGCATCGAGCAGACAGGTTTGAAGGCACCGTAAGTAAGCGGCCTGTCCCGATAGCGAGCGTTTGACAGGCCTTTCAACTCTCCCGAGTGCTGGTTCGAACAGCGTTCAGGGCGCTGGGTTTTTTCTTGTCATCCCAAGAGAGCCTGCTTGTTGCGGAGTAACAGTGCATCCGGACCCAAGAAGTCTCCTGGGAAGCCATTCGACGTGTACATTTTCAGATTCTATTTTATCAAAAAGTGTGTATGTCCCCCTATTCTTGGGATTTCATCCAGAACTAATTTTTGCAGTGCACTGGCACATGCGGAAAAGCACATTGAACAAAGCAAATCTATCGCAGTGGTGATTCTGCGAGCGTTTTGAAAGGTTTGAATGGCATAAACGACTTTGTTTGCGCGAGCTCAATATTTCATTCATTTATGAAGTGTTAGTGTTGAGAATACTTTCCAGGTACAACATTTTGCAATCGGGAGTAATGTTCAATGCATTCGTATCCATGGGGTTACTTTATTGCATGACCAATTTTGAGCAATTTTGATAAACTCGCAAAAACTAAGCTCGCAAAATCGAATACCGTATTTAACTAAACTTCTAAAATACAATTTTATTATTAGCACACACAGCCCTGAAATTGGCCATTCTCAGATGTTTTCGTTGTGACCTTCATCAATCCATGTGCTTAAAATGTAGAAGCTACAACCTTAAATCTTTTCTTCTTTTTTTTTCTTTATGGTGCCTAAGATTTGAGGTATAAAATGTTGTGCCCTGCAATGAGCACTATTACCTGTTGCATAGCCCTGGGCATGCAAAGAAGGCACACCGCCAATGTCTGATATATCAGGCTTTCAGAAACGATATTGTCCGATTTTCCTCACCCTTTTGTTAGGATGAAGTTGTTACTAACTTGTCTTCCTCACATAGTGGTTCTTTGATTGAATTATGTGATGTTATATCGTAGAGTGGCATAGGGTAATTTTCTCTTCTCTTTTTACGCAGGATGTAATGGCATACCATCATCACAAAGGAGAGTGTACAGTGAGGCAGGCTCGGAAACTTGAATAAAGTGATAAGTAGGATTTCAATATCTGTCTTATCAATTACGCGAAGAACACTGATCATAATGCTTGTATGCTACACATACA